ACCGAGCCGATGTCCTTCTTGTGCCGAACGCAGCCGGTGAACAGAGGGAAGAAGTCAGACGCGTAATAATCTGTCGTTCTCTGCTGAACTGCCAGGTTGATGTCATGCCATACGCCGTGCGACGAGTCCCAGAACGCATCCTCGACGGCAGCCGTCGCCTGCTGAAACTGGCGTTCGTATTTCATGGCGTTCACGTCGTCGCCGGCGACGGCGAAAAGCTTCGACAAAATGTGTCGGTTGCCGCAGATCAGCGCATTCAGATCCACGGGCACAATCTCCGACGTACGGATGCTGTCCAGTGTAAAGTCTTGCTTCCTGCCTGACCATCGGGAGCTGAAATCCCAGCCTGATTCGCAGGCAGATGCGATGTTGGACCAAAGCTTCGCTTTGTCTCTCTCTAACATGACCATTGCAATTTTTCGCATCCAATCGCTCACTAACCTGTTTTTTGGGCAGCTGCCGTCCGCACGTCTTCCCAGTATGATTCAGGGCGTGGATAGCCTGCTTCCACTCTGTACTGGTACAGAGCCGCCAAAGCCCCAGATTTCGTTCGCACAGTCACCGACCGGTTGCGATCCCAGAATTTTAATTCCCTTTCGATGGTAGGCAGCAACGTCTTCACGAAATCAGAGTCGTACGTGGCCAGGTAATACGCGTGTACGGCCATAGCCAGCATGGGAGGATGGGATCGATTTTTGTAATATATTCGCCCGCCGTTTGGAACAAATCCAAACCTAGCAAAAGCGATGGTCAACGCAGCAGTCAAAGTCTAAAGTCGCGTATAGCCTATGTTACTTGTCAATCATGTACGCAAGGTTTTCTATCATGTGTCTCGCGGTTATGTTCATTCCAGACAACAGGAGGCCTTTTATGATCCAGTACGAATCCCAATAATAATATTCTCGAAATCGACCACCAGGTACGATGAACTGCCGCGGTACAGGAATAAGTGAATGAAGTTGTTCGTTTTTTCGAACACTGTCTTTTACCTAAACGTGACTGTATGCATGAAAATACACACGTATTAATATGAGCATTTATTGATATGTTTACTGCCAACGAACGTAAAACTAAACAGTACCTGTTCACCTGTTGAATAAGCTTCCCACTGTGGCTTCAGTTGCATGTCATCATCTTCACTGTTTGTAATCCAATCATTAACTGGCAGGTCTTTAACACAGGTTATGTGACACTTCACTTTTAACTTTACAACCATCTACTAAACAGCGTGACATAAAGGGAACTTGCGATCATACAAGTTACAATTCCGTTCGAGTTATATGTGGACGTATGTGCCTCGTCCATCTTTTGCTTTGACTGGCATTGTGGCACTGATTCATGAAGAGGGTGGGAGGTATTAAACTTTCTTTTTCAAAGTTACATTGCTCACCGTATTTTACCGGTCAGTTGTTTCGAGATTCACGTGACACATTTTTGATACCGCGGAAGGGCACAGCGTATGAGAAGCAAATCCGCTCTAATCATTGCTGAAACAATTACCGGGACCAGGGCACGTGATCAGCGGTAGTATGCTAGTAGCTTCCAGAGATGTTTGCACAGCACTCTGCGGTACCTCGTCGTTTGAGACGGTAGCGCGCTCTGCACACATTCTTGAACACCATTGAGGTGAGAGCATGCCGCTCTAAGTCTGAAGACTCCATGACACTAAGATATTTTACCTCTGTTGCTAACTCTGGAACTCACCATAGTTGGCAAATTTAATGCTTGTTACGGGCTCTTCTGAGGTACCGGTTAGAAAGCAGAGGTCGCAGGACTGAACTCTGCACTACCCGAAGATTGCTTTTGACGCATTTAGACTCTTTGCTTGCGGCAACAACATATTGTGTTCGTGCTGAAAGACGGACAATTAGCCGGACGATAAGCATTGACTCTTCGAGTAACGTCTCTAATGAATTCATCAGTCTATGTCACGGTATTGTGTTGAATGCCGATGAGAAGTAGAAGAACATTGCCCTCACTCCCCTCGCTTTCCACGGCCTAAATTGCTCGTCACCGCATCGATGAACAGAGTGTTATTTTCGAGCGCCTCGCTGCGCTCGTATTTTTTGACTATGGCAGTGAAGAATTAACCATCCTTTTGCCAAACTGCAATTAAGAAGCCTTGCAATTTAAGTCGCAGATCTGCAAGCTTCACTCAAGCAAGTGCCTTTATGCTGGTGACAGGGTAGCTCAATCGGTTAGAGAGCTATTAGGAACAATAAAACTGACCATTCAGGATTTTTTACTCACGCTCTTGAAACCGGTCATCATTTAAAAGCCGCAGCGTTGAGGAGATCTATCAACTGCCAATCGCTCTCGCCGACCTGTTATGTCTTTGAATGGTATGTTTCAGTTCGCACACAGTGCCTAAAATGTCTGCTTCGAACTCTGGAGGCACCGTATTAGATTTCACTCGAAAGCAACCCTTGTCTTTGCACCAATTCCCTTGATCAAGGAGTTTACCATTCATTGCTTCAGACTCGGGTTGCCATGTCGGTAGAGCGTCGAATACAGAACCGACAGGTCCCGAGGTCAGGGTCTCTCGTCATTCTTCCTTCAAAGGTTGATAAATGAGTATCCCTCTATGGAAAGGAAATAGGAGACTATACGCTATGCTTGTCACATGACTGTAGACTTTGTCTTTAAAGTAAAACACATCTAGATGATGGCACAGAAGCAGAATTCAGCACCGTTCCATCAACTCCATGAAAAGAAGGGCGCTAAAATGGCCCAATCATGAAAATGAAGGAAGAATGACATTCCAAAGGTGATAAACTTTCCATTTTCTGTTCTGTTCCACTTAGCTGCAATATGAAACAATTCCTACAGGCTGATAGACTCCACTGACATCGTTGTCATTAACATTATGATCATCTTCCAGGACGTAAGCAGCCAACCCAAAATGGTTAACGCTAGGGTACCTGATGGCTCACCTCTGTATTAATAATTAATAGATCTTGCCACCGTAATTGCACGGGAGCTTCTCCCAGTTGCGATCACCTTTAGCCTCGCTAAATGCCAAGTAAGCTGCTTCTACCGTCAGTTTTTTGAAAATGGCAACCGTGCCTGAATTCCGTTTACTGTGGCTTTAAACGTAGTCATGGCAATTTTGATGCCTTGGCTATATTGCCTCATGCCGTTGCTCAGCAAGTCGAGCGAGGGAAGCGAGTGTGCGATGTGCTTCCTGGACTTCTTATCGGCCTGCAACACGGTGAGGCGAGATAGACTTTATTCCATCTTGTAACTGTCTGGATGTGATCCACATGAAACGACTTGCCTTCCAATCTGTCTGGCCGGATAGCAGTTCATTCGTTTGCCTGAGGGATGTTCAGATGAATAATGCCAAATAGCCTTTGCATCCCTAATGTCATTGCCCCCGGCAATTGTACATATATACGAGTGTCAAGTCAAGCCTACGTCGTCTACGTCTGCGATACGTTGACGACACCGAAGTCATCGCCAGCAACTTTAAACCTTGGCCTAGCATCAACGGACTGCAGCCAGACACAAGAAAATTTCTCAAAGGCGTTTTTGTACCTGGAAACTTGCTCTCTTCTGCTCTTTTGTGACTCGAGCCTACCATCTGCAATACTGGCATGTCTATCTTGATACAGAACAGCTTCTTCTCTACATGACAGCGCACTTCAACAACCGGTTGACCATGTCTGATCATGTCTAGCTGATGCCATCAAAGGTGAGGAAAGCATAGTTCTACCTCAAAGCACTACATCAGACCTCGCAGTTGGCATGGATAACATTTCTGGCGCTTCTCTGTTGTTCCCGCAGGGATGTACGAGTCACCACTGCTCTCCGAAGCGTTTTCTGCCTTTGAGTTTTCTACCCTGTAGCGTTGCATTCAATTTTCCGCTAGGTCAGCTGGTACGCTAAATATAGGTGTGGCATAACTTGCGGTTTCTGAAGTTTCTCGACTATTCCTCACATCATCCAGCTGACA